AAATTGGACGAAAAAACAGGTTGCCATACCTTCTGTTCTTCTTGTTCTTCGAGCGCGCCATACAGATGCATGTGCGCCACGTGCACTCGCATGCAGCGTGCATCTGACACGTTTGTCCCATTTCAACACCTAATTCAACCTTTATCTTTTCTAACTTATTCCTAACTGCTTTTTGGTTTATTTTTCTATAGGTATGGCGAGACAAGGTCGACAAGTTGTGGGTCAATTACCTCCTAAATGGCCTTCACATCCATTTCTAGAGTTCCCCAATGATCTTCCTGATCGGAGCTCTTTTGTATCTCGCCTGACTTCTCTTCTGTCTAAGAAGATCAATATTCCCCAGGCTCTTTCCTGGAGAGTGGCAGACGATTCTGGGATGACGGCTCCACTGGCGTCGTTCCTTACCTGTGTATTGCGAGGTGATAGCGGTCTGGAGCTTTTTGTCTGCCATGGATGGCAGCGGGTTGTCGGGGTTCGGGAGGTGGTCTACAAGGAGCTTTATTGGGAGTTCTTTTCGATAGTCTGCTTCGACACGGAGTCGAAGAGATGGGCTGATAGATCGGTTTTTACTTTTTGCCTGGGAGGCATATCCCGCTCCTGCAGCCTGATTGAGCTGGGGAGGCATCTAGGGACCTATACTGCTGAGGAGACTCTGAGTCCTCATTTTTATACTTATCTTGATAGCTGTATTACTGCGCCACCATGAGAGTACACCTACATGCAGGTCTGGGGTCACGCTCGGGGGACTTATGTTTCCAGGACGGCCAAGGAAAGCGCCTTCCGTTCTCCTATCTATCGGTTGATTCACCGATTGGTCGCTTCTACCATTTGTCATGGATAGGAGTGTGACAAGGTTCCCTCCGACGACCTTTTCTATATGTGGTGCCTCACTCAGACTGAGGTTTGCCTTCATCTTCCCTTTTCTCTTGCTCTTTATTTATCTAGCATGGCTCTAGGTTCTACACCTTTGAGTAGGATTTGCAGGGGTCACCGGGTTACTATGTTGGCCTTATCTTATGAGGTTGATACTATTGGGATGGTTCTTATGCCTATCCGAGAGATGGGTACTACCGTTCTCGGGAAGATGCGGGTGTTGGTTCGTGGAGTGGGGTAGCAGTGGAGGATTCCGAAGGAAGATATCGTGGAGCCAATCCAGCAAGTGGAGCCGAAGGACATCCCTAATCCTGCCTTCGTGAGGCTTCAGAGGCCTAGGTATGCGGAGCCCGACCAACCGGAGCCGACTCTTCATGACATGATGCAGTGTCTGGTTACCGAGTGGTGATGGTACACAGATTTACCAAATCACATAGCACCAATCATAGTTTACCTTAACTAAACAAAAATCTACAAGTCTTCATGTTGATAATCCTTTCTTGACTCAATTTCTTCTCCATCTTAGGAACACATGCAAATTTTGAAAACGTCAACTTGATATTGGTGAGTTCACAGTTTTTGAGGTAAAATGTATAATAAAATCTTTTGAAAACTTTTTAGAAATATTTATCTTCCTAGATTCCTAGTTTCCTATGTCTTATTATATCACCTCTTTATCTACTAACCCTATCTTATTAACTTTTAGGATGTATTATTAATCCTAACTTACTATCTTTATAGAATATCTAACGATCCTATCTTATTGTCTTTTTAGGATATTTTATTAATCCTAATTTACTATCTTTGTAGGATAACTAACAACCCTAACGTATTTTATCTATCATTCTAAGGCGTCCCTAATGGTAGTCAGATCTCTAATGATTTTGTAATGTATTACCATGAGCCCCCATAATCGACGTTGTTTGACTAATAATTTGCCCCGCCATGACGCTTTCATCGGACGTTGAATAGTGAATAATAAGAAAGTTATCCTGCCGGGATTGTAGATAGCAATCGCAGGTGGGGGCGTCAATCCCCGTATAGATCTATACATATCTTTCTAGCTCTCGCAAGATTAACGATTATAAGTATCGGGGAATGCCGAATTTAATCAAGGCCTTTGGATGAATATTATCAGCTCACTAACGTATTAACCTTAGGTATTTATCTTTTATCTTTTATCTTTTATCCTTCCTAGGTATTTTCTAAAACTATCACAATATAAATATTTTATCTTATATATGATAATTATAACTTTTGATCTCATAATCAGTTTGTATATATAAGTATTCATATATATACCCTAATTATGGTTATTTGAAAACATGATATTTGGGCAGAGTAACAATTAGGTACGTTGCACATCCCTATATTTGACCAACATAACTTCTAGGTATTATCTCTTCCTAGACTACCAGGTATCATATATCTTAGAGATAATATCATAGCAACTAGGCATAATATTTATAGCTATATTATCTTAAGGCTTTAAGCATTATAAAATGATTTGATATTTATAAACATAAATTTATTTTAATAAAACCATTTGATAATCATGTATCCCCCCCCATAAAACATTTAAAATTGTAAAATAGGGGTCGTGAACTCACTTTTGTAGCGTATTCTGAAGCATCCAAGCCATTGCACCCGGAGATCCGCGCCATTGGGAGGACTTCCGAAACAGCTTGAGAAGTATAGAGAGGGTTTTGGGAGAGTGTTTGGGATGAGAAAATCAGAAAGTGAGCACCTCTATTTATAGTGGTTGTGCGCGCGACACACTTCATGCGCGACGTGCACTCGTTTTGTGGCTCCATCCAAAGCTTGCCACGTGTCACACTTCTGATGGTCCACGTCTCCCTAATCTTCGACAAATCTGGGTGTCAGGTGTGCGCGACGGGCATGGCGCGCACTAGGTGTGCACCCTTAAATCTTTTATAAAAATTCACATCTTCCTTTTATGAATCTTGTTTCTTACCATATTTATATATTTGTATAGCTCTTTTACCAGTACTACAACTTTCCTTAAGGTCATGTTGTCAAATTTTGACTTTCCAAGGATTCACTTGCTATGTTAGTTCATTCCCCATTCAAGATGCATAACATTGAAATAGACACCTATTATCGTCACTCTTTTTCCACAACGTACTAATATCCTACAATGATTACACCTGAAAAACCTCAATTGGTACCCATTAGCCACCACATAATTTGTTAAACAAAACTTGAACTATTATGTGCTTTTTTCCCCAAGTATGATTCCAATTTATTCCAAGATATCATAAGGTTGTGTACAAGGAATTGAACCCTAATATCTTGATCTCCGTCCTTTGTTTTGTCAAACTCTTCATCTGAAGGGATTAATCATCGTCATTAGATGATATTTCAGGCAATTTCATATATTCTTATACCAAGTCATCTAAAAAAGGATGTCATATTATCTTCTTCATTAAAGAAGCAACATACTCTTCATCATAGGGATTGGTGTCAATATCAAACCCAAACACATCACAAGTTTCATTGGACTCATCATTTGTTCCATTCAAACCATTCATATCAACTTCTTCAACATTTAAAGTTAAAGGCATTGGTGTCAGTTAAAGCTTTGTTAAAGAATCAATACAAACAACAAAATAAGACCCGCTAACTATATTATAAAAGACAACGAGCCTGGATTCAAGTTGATTTCCTGTTGATGAAGCATGTTGGACTGATTTTACTGCCTAATTTCACAAACCTTTGCCCTTTTTGACGTTAGAAAATCTGTTTTATAGGCGTGATCTCTTGAAGGTTAAAAGAACGGTATTGAAGCTTGAAGCTTGAAGGTAAGGGGTAAGTCACGTCGATTTATGACATCAGTTTAACCTAGGGTTACCGGATAAAATATATAATTTAGGAGGTTTCACAAAAAAATAATAGTGAAAGTGTTCTATTATAAAAAGTTTTTTAAAACATTAACATATAATATATAGGGTTTTCTTATAAATTTTTTTCACCTTCTCCTATATCAACATTTCAACCGGCTCAATAAATAATAATTAGTTAAAACAAACGTTATTGGAGAATAATAATGTTTTACCACAAAAAATAAATAAATATCAAAGGTTTTTCAAAAATAATAATAATAATAAGGGCTTTCTTGGAATTGAAACTACTTGATTTATGTTGAAAATGTCTGGTGCACAGAATAACGAACCGGGTTGAACTTTGAAGTGTTTCAAACGCCAAATCCAATTGGTGAAAAATAATACGGAGAATTTGGATTCCAAAGAATCGGCCCAAATAAAACGTATATTTATCACAATTCGCAAGACAAAGCACGTATTAGCTGGTTTGCCCGAGAGGTTAAGGGGGAAGACTTAAGATCTTCTGCACATAAGTGCGCATGGGTTCGAACCCCATAGCCAGCAAAATATTTAAAGTATTTTTTTGGTTTTTTATTCTCTGGATTGTTTATTTATCTTAAATGATTATTTTCTAATAAATATCTTAAATTTACTACCCTACTACTCTCCCAGAGTTCACAAGTCAATATTTCCATTTAATTCCCAAAGAATTAATTTACACTACTAAACGTTTGTGATTTGGAGGCTGTTTGAACTTGATTTTGACTTGTGCTTGAATTCTGTTTCGTAGAGTTTATGAAGTAAAATATGACGAAGTTTATGGCCACGTGGACGCATCTTGAAATATATGATCTCAAAACCCTACGATTTTCATGGATTTCGTTAATTTTAAATTCCAAATTTGTGTCGTTGTTTGTACATTTTTATACGATTGGTTAACTATTTGTGGGAATATCTGGAAGAGCTACCTTGGAGCCCAATCAATCTTCTCATAATAGGAAAGTAAATCGATTAATTGATAGATCCTAATTATGATAACTCAAACTCCTAATTAACCCAGAATCTTTCCATATCTGAAATCTCTCACAAACTAGTATAAATAATACTCTACTTCCACAATCCACATTCACAAATCACAATGCACTACCGAACATATCCTCCACATCTCTTCGTTTTCCATCCCCATTGTTGAGCCTCTTTTTCGATATTTTCTGAAGTGAAAAAATTCTTTCACTTCTTCTTCCTCGTTTGTGTTTTTTCGTTAGAAAGAAAGTGACATACATAATGGAAAAGTATGTCAAAATCAAGAAACTTGGGGAAGGATCATATGGGATTGTCTACGAAGCATTGAATAAACTAACCGGTGAAGTGGTGGCGATCAAGAAACTGAAGAGAAAGTGTAGCTCGAAGGAAGAATGCAAAAATCTGATAGAAGTCAAGGCACTGCGGAAGATGAAGCATCCCAATATCGTAAAGCTCAAAGAAATCAACGGAAAAAACGCTGACGTATTCTTGGTATTCGAATGCATGGAATGCAGTCTCTACGATCGTTTGAAAAATATCAGAATGGTGTCTTTTTCTGAAAGCGAGATCAAAAACTTGTGCTTCCAACTCTTTCAAGGTCTTGCACACATGCATGGCAATGGCTACTTTCATCGTGACCTCAAACCAGATAACCTTCTTCTTTCTAAAGATCATGGCATCATAAAGATTGCTGATCTTGGTCAAGCTCGAGAGACAGATGGGGAACCTCCATACACCGATTATGTCACGACGCGCTGGTATCGTGCCCCTGAGGTTTTTCTCCGTTCTTCTGTACATGATCCTGCGGTTGATATGTGGGCAATGGGTGCAATCATGGCGGAGTTATTCACCCGTCAGCCACTGTTTAAAGGTGATAATGGCGGAGAAGTATTGTACAAGATTTGCAGTGTGATCGGAAGTCCAACAGAAAGCAAATGGAGTTTGGGACTTCAACTTGCAGTTAATGTGAATTATCAGTTCCCAGATCTTCTTGGTGTGCCTCTTGCGTCCCTGTTACCATCTGCAAGCAGCGAAGCATTGTGTCTGATTGCTACACTTCTTTCTTGGAATCCATGTTTGAGGCCGACTGCTATGGAGGCACTTGAGCATCCTTTCTTCGATGATGTCACACCTCCAATCCACGTGAACAAAGATCTACCATGGAAGCGGGCGTTGTTGAAGCCGGCAAGAAGTTCGAAGATCTAGTTGAAGATATGATCATACTTTTATGCTCCAAAAAAATTAAGTTGATTTTTGAGATCGGAGAAGTAATTGTTTTTGACTTGATAATTGCACAGCCTGCATAGATTCTAATTAGATAATCGGACGAGTTAATTGCAAATTTAGCGTTAATTTGGTTATGGGTTTTAGTTTGCATGGATTCAATTTGTTTTTCGTTAATCAATCATAAAGATGGTTGTTGGTAATTAAAAGCTTGGCAATTATCAAATATCTAAAATCGTTCGTCATTTTTTTTTTCGATAATAGCATATCATTGTCCTTATATTCGATACAAGTTGTTATATCATGATTGCATTTGAAGGCTTTTAAAAAATTTATCATGTTTTCTTAAATGAATATATATTCTTGTTTCGTTGCCAAAATCAACATGCTAAACAGGATTTAATTTACATTTTACTAATCCTATTTTGACCCGAAGGAGGTCACCCAAAATACATTTGTTTATTTTAAATCAGTAATAACTGTTCTAATATGATCATAATTTGTTTAAAAATAATAATAATAATAATACCAATAATTTTAAAACCAATAGTATCGAATTCCTTAATAACTATTTAGGTATAATATCACTTAGAACAATCTTCGATTTTTTTTTTTTTTTTTTTTTTTTTTTTTTTTTTTTTTTTTTGCAAACGTTTCTAAATCTATTTGTAGAAATAAAGCATTTTGAATTTGTTTTATACAAATATGGCTTTGGGCCCACCTAAGTTACACATTTTTAACCCCTTTAAGTTTTATTTTTTGTAAACATAGTTTTGGGCCCACTTCATTAATTATCACACTTTTAAGTTTTAACCCCTTTAAGTTTTGTTTTTAATAAGTTACTATAAACTATTTTTGATATTTTTGTAATTTCAGCAAACAACAAATTATACTATACTATATATTAAATATAAATGAGCTTAGGAATAATGAATTTTATACATTTTAGATTTTTGTCACACATCTTTTCACTATAGACACATTTAATCCCTATAATTTTGTAATTTACAAAAAGGTCCGCGTGAGGTCTTTTTTACGGAAACAATTCATATGTTTAATATGTCGGCAAGTTTGTTATCTGTATAGAAAATAAAGTATAAAAATTGTCCCGTAATTTACAAAAAGGTCATTGTGCATTATTTTTTACATAAACAATCAATGTGTTTAAAAAAATTACAAAATAGTCCGTACATAATAGAAAATTTGCAGATTACTCCCCCCGGCTCCCCCTGGTCGCAATATATTGTCATGTTTCGTCTCTCTAGTTTTTTGTTCTCACACTTTAGTCACATGAGTTTTGTATATTTGTAGGTTTGCCTCCTACCGTAGTTACGTAATTTCGGCCCCGCTTTAGTTTTGTATAAGTTCAGTCAATTTTTCGGTTTTTTGAATTTTTTTTAATTATATTTCTTATTTATGATGGGATTGCATTTCTTTTTAATAGTTCAATTAGTTGTTTTGTCAGTTCGCCAACTTCAAAAAAGACGAAATCATCGTTGTAATCTCATTTTCTAGTAATATTTTTTTTTTTGGTTTTTTATTTTTTATTTTATGCTTTTTTGAAACTGGTTTTTCTATTGGTCTCATTATTATTGTATTTTTAGTAGACATAATTTCCTATATACCCTTATTAAACATCTAAATATCATATTTGCCCAACCTAAACTTTAAATATTGTATTTGTCATTCTTAATGTTTTTTTTTTTAATATCATATATGTCCAAATCTATTTTTTAAACATTTTTTATTGATTTATAATCTTTTTTTTATCATTTTAAAATCATTAAAACTAAAAAACATTTTGAATGAACAATTTTGTACTTGATTCTAAATTCCAATACAACACCAGATCATGTGAATATCTAAATCGCAACCCGCTTCTTCAAGTGAATCAAACCATAAACATCCCAGTAGGCTTAAGAGCAGAAAAGAAATGAGTTGTAGACCAATTTGTTTACCTCTAAAGGGATTATAACTGAGACTCGTACTGAAGTATTACTTACAAAGAATTAAAAATATAATCACTTTCATTAAACCAGAAAACCAAAGTCAAACAAACCATGGATAAAACAACAAACTATTATAATCGTTCTATGTATCTCTTTTTGTCGTCAACATGTTAACATTAGTTTTAGATACACATTGACAATCTAGAATCAGATACACATTTTGCTTCAAATATTGTTATTAGGAAAGCTAAATTTGTTGATTACCATAGAATCTATGATATCATAATTGATCAAGATACTATATACCAAGCAAATGAAAATAAACTATGTATAAAAGGATTTATAAAGGGACCAAAAGTATAAAAGTTTACATTGCAGATAATAATGATGAGAAAGAGATTGTTCATATGACGAGTGTTCTTATCTCTTGGCTTCTTCGCACCTTGATTTTCCATTTCTTGGAGCTCTATGCCTTGTTATTGATTTAACAATTGAAGGAAAATGAGATGATATTTAGATATTTAGGAAGAGTATATACCAAATTCTGCCTTTTTAGTAAAGCTAAGTTCCATGTATTAGCAATTTTTAAAGCTTACAGAAAATACAAATAAAAAGAATCTAAATGTAATGTATTGTTAAGTTAACAATTGAAGGAATACAGAGGAAAATGAAAAACTCTTGACCAGATGATTGATAATTAGGAAGCGATGCTGACCTTGAACACTTTAAATGGAATATCCAACTGTTGTCTCCGATAAAGAAGGGGATATAAGGAGCAGGGCGTAAATACCTGTTGCTACTAGCGATTGCAAGAAGGAAGAGACGCTAGAAAAAAAATGGCGAGACGACGACGGTCGGGAGGAGACACAGGAGATTGTGAGGAAGACGACCCAAAAACCTCATCGTCAGGTAGTATTCCTGCGACAACATGAGGGAATAGAGGTTGCTCGTGTGCAATAGCGTAACATCCCGTTAATTTCTATCTTGTAAAGTCAACCAAAGTCAAACGAGGGTCAATTAAGGTCCTTTTTATTGTTTGGGTTTTTATGTAGGTTATAATAATAACCTTTGTTTGATAAAAAATCCTTAAAACAACTGTAATTAAATTTAGAAGGAAAGGGCTTAAAGCCTTCGGGCCGAAAAAAGGTTCACAGCCGCAAACTTTCGCAGCCGCAAACCCTCGCAGCCGTGAACGAGGCCGTGAATGGCTTCGGCCGTAATTAGGCTTCGGCCGTAAACTCTCCGAACCTTATCGCCTCGGAAACCGAACCTTATCGCATTGGGGCACGTTCTCGGTCGTAAACACTAGCCGACCTCGGACCGTAAACGAGGTTCACGGCCGTAAACCCTCGGACCGTGAACCCTAGTCACACACACACACACACACACACACATATATATATATATATATATATATATATATATATATATATATATATATGTTCCAGCTAGTTTTTACTTCATTTTTTTCACTTCCACTCGAGATTTCAAGCCTTTTCTCTCAAGTATCATCCACCTAGAACATCATATCTCCTCAAGAACACATCAAGATCATCCTTATTCATCATATTCAAGTGTTAAACACTAGTTCTTCACAAGATCTAACAGGTATCAATTCTTGATCTTGTTATCACTTCAAGAACACCCTTCCATCTTCATATACTAGGCTAGAATCCATTGATTTCGCTAGTTTTCACGAAGAACACGCGAAGAACACGAAGAACAACCACCTGAAAACCTTTAAATCTCCTTAACAAGTTGCTTAGATTCATCAAGTGTTCTTCATTCATCAAGAACACCTGGCCGTAAACCCTCCTGGCCGTAAACTCCTGGCCGTAAACCCATTTCAGCCTCCAATCTAGCTTCAAACACTTCAATTTGTAAGTTATACTTACAAATTAGTCCGGTTTTTAATCATTTCTATGATTATTTTAGCTAATTGGATGCATATATGCTATACAAATCACTATATAGGACTTGTTTTCTTACGGGATTTCACTCGTGGAACTAAGCATCCTATATCAAATCATCATTTGAATCACCCTCCAAAAGGTGAGTTCATACCCCCGTATTTTCATAGTTTTTACTGTTTTAAGGGGGGGGGGGGGATACAAGTCTAACACAAAGATTTTGTGTTATAAACAAATGGTTTCAAAATATCTTATCAAAATGGATTTCAGTTATCATCAAATTAAATGGTTTCAAAGATTGTGTTTAAAATGACATCAAGTCACCAAAAGTATTTCAAAATATTAAACTTCTTTTAAATGGTTTTATAAACTTATATTTTTCTCCAGAAATCATATTTATATATATATTTATATAAATAAGGTTTAAAAGGCTTAGGACTGATAATCCACTTTGGTTCCTTTTCCTTGTTTGGATGTGGGATTATAAGTATCGGTTATTTGTCCGAGTGTCATTTAAATCTTACTTATATATATTTGTATATGTATATAAGTATAAAAGTTATTTCATTCAGTTCAAATACCCTTTGTAACATGTTGAGCAAGGGGTTGCATTCATGAACACTTAGTATCAATTCAGAAAGTACATATAAATTATAATATGTATAATTTATGATTCATAGGACATTAATTCACGATTCAAGTATACTAAAGTACACTGTTTTACAAAAACAAAGGTTTGATTCAAAACTAATCAAGAGTATACATCTTTCATATACTAATTCAGGGGCATACTGTCAATCATTCATTTCAGAATTATTGAGTTTTCATAACTATTATACATGTAACGTCTATATGCTTTTTATGAGTCATTTGATTCAGGTTGTTTAATTCATTTAAACAATATAGTTAAAGTCCTGATGTAACGACGTAAATTTTAAAACAATTTTTCATTTTTCAAACATAATAAAACTCATATAATATTCTCAAATCTCATGTCTCAAATGTCATCATAATAAAACATATCCCAGAATCTCAACACATAATCCTCTGCCAGTGTGTACAAATCATGCCGGCGCTTTCCCGCGATCCTCGCTGGTACCTGAAACACATATCACATAACACG